TTTCTGGTTTTGTGAATGAATATGGACATACTCATTGTGGCTACTTCATAATCAGTCTTACACTCTTGTTCAAGAAACACGAGGGTTCATGAATGACTCATTCGATTTCCTCCACTGAAGCTATTATTTTCTGAAGCTACTATTTGTGCTTTTATTGGACTTGGTTCTACATTTTCTTTTCTTTCAGTGCTGGTGGATCTGAAAATGGATCGGCTGTGAACACTGAAAATGGACATGCTGAAGAGACTGAGGAGATACGCACTCAGGTGTAATGAAGAAGTCGCGAGCTTTTGAAGGTGGGTGGAAAGGTTGAATTACAGAATGTGGGCTGATAGGATTTTGGTTCTAATTTTTTTTTTTTTTAAATAAAAAAATATTTCAGTTTTGGGGCTTTCATTACAGATTATGAAGTTGTTGGTGCACAATATAGAGAAATTTTGGTAGACTTGTGGTGGCTATTTATGGTTCCTGTGTATTTTTGAGAGTTAAATTTTGTTTTTTGTTGGTGTGGTGTACTTGGAGATTATTTTGTTGGTCCCTTGGTTTTCTAATGTTGTTTCTTTGCTATCTTGCTTATAGAACAAATTGACTACATTACATAAAGCATTTGATATATGATTATGTGAGTGTTTTTGACAAGGAATTCCTGAAAATATTAATAGCAGTCGACTTTACAATCATGGTGTGAAATTCATGTGTTTTGTATTGATCAAACAGTGAAATTGTTGTGGGTTAAGTGTGTTGTACAACAACACTGAGTTATTACCACTAATACATACAACAGCCGTTGCCTCGGTGCCGTTTTCAGAAGCTTTTGCTTGTCCACACCAGTAAGGTTTCGAGTTTCGACGTTCCTTGTCGTGTGCTTTTTGAATTTTCTACCATACTATCTATCTCTTAGTTAGTCGTCAGTAAGCCTATAAACAAGTTGAGCCGAGTTTCGGCTCATTAAATAAACTTGTATGAAATCGAGCTCGAGTCAGCTTGTTTATCACTAAAACGAGCCGAGTTTAAGCCTTAACAAGCCGATCTTGAGCTTTAACGAGCCGAATTATAGAAAATTATATAAAAATTCTCTTCTCGAGCCTTATCTAGCCGAGCCAAGCTTGGTTCGTCAACCAAACGAGCTTTAAATGAGCTCGAGCTCAGCTCGTTAGATGACGAACTCGAGCCTTAACGAGCCGAGAGTAGCTTTTAATTTAACAACACTCTCTTAAGTATTTTAAAAAGCATTTTTTATAACGCCATGCGTAGCGCTGAATAACGTAAAAACGTACATCCATTATGATGTTACGTTTGAAATTTCACATTTCTCCTCTAAATGTTGAAGTGACACGCTATTTTTGCGTTTTTTACGCTATTTTACACATTTTTTTTAACGATGTTTACGTTTATTTTCCCAAGTGAAAGGAGAGGGGGAGAAGGTAACTCGTCTACAAGTAAGTTGGGATATTCCACACTTTTCAGAAGGTAGCACCACATGGGAGTAGCAGATCGATGATTTTGCTTAGTCGTCAAAACCGGGTGGAAAGGGACCTTTCCAAAACCCAATAAAGGGGCGAAAGATGCTCGACTTACAAGGAGAGGGGCTTTTGCCCAGATTAACGAAAGCTAAGAGAAGAGCCCTGGAAACGACTTGACTCGGGATAGAAAAACGAAAAGGGAAATATCCTAAGTCATAACGCTTAACATGTTATTTTAAGGACTTTTAGCGTAGAACATGATATGGAGAGGATTCAAAAGCACATGAATCGTAAAAAAAAATATCCTAAGCAATAATGCCGAGACTGGGACACCAAACCGAGAGAAAAAACAACAACAAAGCAGAAGAATGTCGAGACTGACACTCTGCGAAAATATTTAGAGAAATTTACTCATTCATCGACCCATCTAAACAACAAATGTCAGCTTTTTGCACTGTTAATGAGCAAGTTTTGCTAAAGCCAATAGGCGGAAATGAAACAAGCTCCTTGCATAGTCGAACGATATGAAGATACAAGATACCAAATTCCAAAGTTAAAAAGCCAAGATATCAGTCATTCATGAATAATAGCATAACTCACAGCCAGAGCACTCATGAATGATGTAACAAGAACAATCAGAAATAATTATTAAAAATCCTATCATTCAGTGAAACTGTCAACAGCAAGATTTAAGGCTGTGTCTGAGGGGAGAGTACTGTGATTTGCTACAAAGATACAATGATTAATGCCATAAGGAATATGATAATATGATCACCTAATACAGAACGAAACATCTTCTCAATGCCGACGGGGAATTCAGTCATTCAAAAGAAATCCAAGAAAAGCAGCATAGATATTCAAACAAAAAAAAAAA